GTATAATTCAAAATTATATTTTTATTCGTTGAAATCAAACAGATACTGGTATTCATGAGTTCTTTTTTTATAACAAAAAAAAGGAAGTAAAGGAAATCACGTAAAATCGATTTTGTTGCAATCATTCGCAAAAAGTTGCACGAGATTTATAATAATATGATGGTGAAACATAAGAACAACGATTTATTTTATTTTCAATTTTATTCTCAAACGTAGAAATCAGAAATTGGGAAATGGATATGAAGTACTAACGAAACATTATTTCTTTACTTGATTTTCTTTGTCAAATTATTAAAATTTCTTCAATTATTCAACTTAATATTCAACTAACATTTAAATTTTTATGTATAGCATGAATCGTGATAAGATAATTTAGTAAAAAAATGATACATTTCTCTCTCTATTCTTTTTTAAATTTCCAAAAATTTCAGGTCTTTGTCTCGTCATAAATCAAAATTATATCAAAAAAAAAAATATTTTTTAAGTAATTTATATTTTAAAGCATAATGCATAGGAAAAAATTGAATAACGAATCGAAATAATATATTTGATAATGTATAGAATCTTTATCACAAAATCTTTATAAATTTTATGAATTAGGACATAAAAATGTTTAGATAACAAAAACATACATTACATTGGTTAGTTTTATAATAATAAAAAAGAAAATGAAACGAAATAAATATATTTATAACTTTATAGATATAAAATCAAAAAGAGAGAATATTATTCGATATTTCATTTTCTTTAAAATCAAATCTAATCTGAATTCAAGTTAAGCTAATTTTTTTCACTAATTTCATTAACAATTTCAAACCATTATTTCCGTAACATTATATTGAGCATCACACTCCTATAAACTATAAGTATCTTGAAATTATCATAAATGTATCTAAATGCGAATAATAAGAAATTGTATTATCGATTAGCTCTATTTTTCAAATATCTCATCGCGTAATAATAAGATATAAAAAAATATTTCTTATTTTTTAAAGTAAATAACAAAGATATATCAATTTTTTTTAAATCTACTGTAATTTCGTTTTACATTGAAATGCATTTTATTTTATCGATAGATAAAATAATATCTAAATATCTTTCATATTACTACTTGATACCTACAAATATTCATAGCATTATATGAATTAACATATTATCTCAATAATTGTCTCTATTATAATCAATAATTATTTCAATAATGATGCACATTGACCTTGCATTTCGAAAACTTTTTTTTTTAAATAAGATTAGACTATCTACCTAAATGATGAGAGTTAAAATAATTTTTAAATATTTCCTTCACATAGAAAAACATTAATTGAATATATATCCATTCTAATATTATATTCTTTATTGAATAAATACAGGAAAACATGGAATCGTGTATGAGCAGAACTTGTACATCGTCATTGCAATCGTCACCAGCCTCCACATTTACTTTCTTGATACAAACATTAATAGCGTCCCGTTGTAAACTGAACAACCCGGATGAATATCCCAGAGATCGCGTAAATGACGTTTTAAGATCGAGCATGGAATTCGATTTTGTGATCGTTGGTGGTGGAACCGCGGGATCTGTTTTGGCTCGCAGATTAACGGAAGTGGAGAATTGGAAGGTTCTGTTAATCGAAAGAGGAGGGTATCCTTTACCCGAAACCGCACCACCTGCTTTATACACCAGTAACTTGGGCTTGTCACAGGATTATGCTTACAAGGTAAAAGTAAATAAACTAATTTTAATAATTATTTAAAAAAGAATCGTGTATGTACATTTTCTTGCTCTTGAAAAAAATATACGATACAAATTTTATTTCAATAGTTAATTTCAATAATTTGAGAGAAGTATATAAATTACAATACATTTGTATAATAAGTCATGTAATCTGATCATTTTATGATAATTTTAAATTCTTCATCTAATTATAATCATTTCTGTATAAAGATCGAATATCTAAAGGACGCCTGCTTGAGCCAAGTCGACAAACGATGCAGATGGTCGAAAGGTAAAACCCTTGGAGGAAGTTCCGTTATCAACGCCATGTTGTACGTCCTTGGCAACAAAAGAGACTACGACACTTGGGCAAATTTAGGAAACCCTGGATGGAATTACGAACAAGTACTTCCATACTTTAGAAAATCGTCGAGCTGTTCATCCGAGTACATAGCCAAATATGGTACCGATTATTGCGGATCAGACGGTCCTATAAGAATCAGACACTACAATTACACTGCAACAGACTTGCAGAATATAATCTTGGAAGCCGCGCACGAGGCGGGATACGATATTCTCGAACCATTGAACAATGATCGTTTTATCGGATTTGGAAGAGCGATGGGTACCCTCGACAATGGGCAACGGCAAAATTGTGCAAAAGCTTTCCTCTCCCCGATCAAAAACAGGAAGAATCTGTACGTAATGACGTCGAGCAGAGCGGACAAGATTCTGTTCCAGGGTAAACGGGCGGTCGGTGTACGAATCACTTTGAGCAACAACAAATCGGTGGATGTGAGAGCGACGAAGGAAGTGATTCTGTCGGCGGGAAGTATCGCCAGTCCTCAGATACTGATGCTCTCGGGAATCGGGCCAAAGGAGCATTTGAAAAAAATGGGAATATCCACTCTCGCCGATCTGCCTGTCGGGAGGAATCTTCAAGATCACGCGATATGGCTAGGATTGTACTACTCCTATCTGAATGAATCGGTGACATCTTCTCCTAGCGAGAAGAATCAGTTAGACGATATTTATGATTATTTGGAATTCAATACTGGCCCATTACGCGTTCTTCCGCTCGATCTCAACGGCTTCGTGAACGTGAACGATTCTCATTCGAAATATCCGAATGTTCAATTAATGTTCGTACCGTATCAACGTTACAGCAACAATTTATTATATTTATTTCAATCATTCAATATGGACAATGACATTTTGCAAGAAATACAAAAGGATATAATGGAAACGAACTTGATCTCTATTTGTCCTGTATTGATAAGACCTTTGAGCCGAGGTTTTCTCGAGTTGCGTAACACTAATCCGGCCGATCCTATTAAGATCTATGCGAATTATTTCGTCGAGAAGGAAGATTTCAAAATGTTGTTGAAATCCGTGGATATCGTTAAGGCTTTATTAAACACCGAGGCTCTGAAGAAGTACAACATGACATTATATTATCCTAACATTCCCGGATGTCGACACACGAAGCCAGGTACCGATGAATATTGGGAATGTAGCCTTAAACACTTGTCTACCACGTTGTACCATCCGAGTGGAACGGCCATGATGGGACCGGCCAACGATTCCAGGGCCGTTGTGGATTCGAGATTGAAAGTGCACGGTGTCAAAAATTTGCGAGTGATCGACACGTCGATCATGCCGGAAGTGACGAGCGGGAATACTAATGCGCCGACTATGATGATTGCAGAGAAGGGAGCGGATATGGTTAAACAGGATTGGGGCGTAAAGATACAGATATGAGAAACTGAGATGGTTTAAAAATATTATATGCGAAACAATTGTTTTATGTATTACTTTTGTGCAATTAGCTCATGTAAAAAAAAAATATTTCTATCTTAAATATTTATTAGCATAATTACTTCAATCAATAAAACTTTCTTTCCAACATATTTTCAATATTTCATTGTTCATGAGCAAAGAGGAGAGTATTGGGTTACCAGATGGGAATAGTATACTATCCTCTTTATTATTTAAAGTGATTCTTCTTTTCTCATAAGAAGAATACGCAATGTCATTTATTCTCCCTCTGTTAGATTATGTAAAAATATGTTACAAAGCCAAGATTAAGCATCGCATTGTAAACATTTCTCTATCTAATTTGTTCAGTCTAATTTAATTAATGATAATGGAGATAATGATGTCGCGTCGTTCTCTTTTTATGAAAATTCAGCACAGAGAAGTTAAACTTTTAATTATTATTTTTAATTGTAAAGAAGATAGCGTATATCCTTATCTGCTTTTAAGTTTTTTCTTTTTTTATATATATAAAAATAAAATTATATGTATAAAAAAAAAGAAAAATTTTTTCTTTCAAATGAGAATACTTATTATTATGGAATTAATCACTCTTATTCCGTTTCGTATTTTAAATAAATAATTCCAGTTTCACTTTTTAGAATTAATCACGTTATCAATATAAAAATGTATAATAAAGAAATCACGTAAATAATTGTCGATAACCTAAAATGATACGCTGATCTATGTTGGCAAGGAATGAAAAAATAAGGTAAAAATAAAAAATAGTTTTTTATTTTATCAACAAAAATTCTCGATATTTAAATTAAAATTTTATCATTTGACCTTTTTATCGTTTTAATAGCTTTTAAAAATTCATTCACTGTTGAAAGATTATTATATATATTAATTAAATTAAATTAAATAAAATTATTTGAAATTTTTATCGTCAATTAAAAATAGAAGATATTAATTCTGTTGATTACAGATTTTTTTTTTTTTATATCTTATATTTTGATGTTTTCTGAGGATTGATCGTACAATAAAATTGAAAGAATATGTATATTTCAAGCAAATATGAGATATACGAAAATGGAAAAAAATATTTCGATATAAGCAAGTCGAGATTAGCCAGTTATTTATTACGGTTTATAATACACTATTCAGTTTTGTCTCGTTTTAGAATCGAATGAAAGTATTTCGAAGTAATGGCAAGTAAAGTAAGTAAAATAGTAAATCAAGCAAAAATATTAATCTTGCTCTAAAAAAAAAAAATATCGTTCTATGATCTGAAAATCTATATTAAATATAAATTGAAATCTCGTTGTATTATTTAATTTCGCATTAATTCTAATTTATTTCACATATCATTTATTTTAATCTTAGATTATTAATTTTAATATTAATAATTTCGTATTACGTATTATTTCACATCTCACTTGTTTTAATCTATCAGGAGGAAAAATTTGCTTTATTTGCAGATTTAATCTCTTAAGGAAAATTTTAAAAGAAGAGAACAGATTACTGATTAGGAGTAACGAATGCAATAAATAGTTGCTCAATTAGTATTTATCTTCTAAGAAGAAAAGTTAATAGAAGAAGAACTTTCAAAGAGCACGGATAAACGAATAGGTAAATATTAATAATTTTTTCTTTAAATTAATTTTATTAATTAGTTTTATTTTTAGTATTCATCTTTATAATCGTATTTGAAACGAAAAAATGAAGATATATATTTCGGAATTTTTAAAAATAATTATTAAATTTGACAATATAATATTTATATCTGTCAAATAATATAATTTTCTAATTCTTTTTAAATGATATAATTTTTACATTCTCGTTACTTAATTATTATTACAAAATTAATACGAAATATATATATGAATACACATACAATAGCTCATATCATTTGAAAATTCAACAATCAATCCAAATAATAAATAATTTTTGAAATTATGATTCAAGAAGAATCATTTGAATTGCATCAATCGCTCAATCCATAAAATTTATCGACTTTATTTTACAAAATATTCAAAAATCAAAAATAAAAATAAGAATTAACATCTAAATATTATCGATTAATATATTTTATATTTCATAAAAATATATTGTTACAGAGAAATCATTAATTCTCGAAAAAAACATGGAATCGTGTATGGCCAGAAGTTGTTCGCCGATGCTACAGTCGTCGCCAATTTGCCTCTTTACTTTATTGCTACAAACGTTGGAGGCATCCTATTATGGGTTAAGTAATCCGAATATATATCCCAAAGATCGCACACAAGAGATTTTAAGTTCGAAAATGAAATTCGATTTTGTGATCGTTGGTGGTGGAAGCGCGGGATCTGTTTTGGCTCGCAGATTAACGGAAGTGGAGGATTGGAAGGTTCTGTTAATCGAAAGAGGAGGGTATCCTTTACCCGAAACCGTGATTCCTGCTTTCTTCACCAATAATTTGGGTTTGTCACAGGATTATGCTTACAAGGTAAAAACAAAAGCAAAAATAAGCTAATTTTAGAGAGAAAGAGAGAGAAAGAAAGAATCGTATGTATGTTTCTCTGTCTTTGAAAAAATCGATAGGAATTTTATTTCTAAAAAATAATTATCTTTAGAAAAGTGTTATAAATATGAGAATCATAATAATGAGTTATCATTTTTCAATAACGATTTATAAATTATGTATAAATGATATGAAATGTGAATGATCATCATATAGGAAAAATATTTCATACAAAAATGTAAGAAGATCGTATTTGATGTATATTTTGTATTGAAACGTTAGGATTTTCTTCGTTATTTATTTTTCTTTTTTTTTTTTTTATAGATATGAAAATTATCATTCTTTTTAAAAATATTGGTATAGTAAAAAATTATTTGTTTATAAGATTTGTATTTTTTTATGAAACGAAAAGATATTTGTTCCGTTGTCTTGTTTTTATTCTTCATATGATTTATAACATTTTTATATCATTATCGAAGCAAATCATTAAATTAAATATCAGAATTATTTTCGCAATAATCTGGAATTGCTTGTTTTTGCTCATATTTGTTTAACATTATACTTGAATCCTCATATCGTATTCTCACAAGTTTTGCGAGAATATTTTTTCTTCGTGTATTTTTCTTCGATATAAAATGATTAAGAATGAAAATTTTCCTACTTACATCATAATACTTGTATTATTACAACAATTTCAACGATTCAAAACGAATAAATACAATATTAATTATTAATTATTTTAAAACGAAATAAAAAAAAAACATAACATTCCATATCTTTTTTCTTTATCTAATTTTAATCATTTCTGTGTAAAGGTCGAGAATCAAGAAGAAGCCTGCTTGAGCCAAGTCGACAAACGATGCAGATGGTCGAAAGGTAAAGCCCTTGGTGGAAGTTCCGTTATCAACGCCATGTTCTACATCTTTGGTAACAAAAGAGACTACGACACTTGGGCAAATTTAGGAAACCCCGGATGGAATTACGAACAAGTACTTCCATACTTTAGAAAATCGTTGAGCTGTTCATCCGAATACATAGCCAAATATGGTACCGAATATTGCGGAACAGACGGCCCTTTAAGAATCAGAAATTACAATTACACTGAATCAGACGGGATAGATATAATGTTGGAAGCCGCGCACGAGGCGGGATACGATATTCTCGAACCATTGAACGGTGATCGTTTTATCGGATTTGGAAGAGCGATGGGCAACCTCGACAATGGGCAACGGCAAAATTGTGCAAAAGCTTTCCTCTCCCCGGTCAAAAACAGAAAGAATCTGTACGTAATGACGTCGAGCAGAGCGGACAAGATTCTGTTCGAGGATGAACGTGCTGTCGGTGTACGAATCACTTTGAGCAACAACGAAACGGTGGAAGTGAGAGCGACGAAGGAAGTGATTCTGTCGGCGGGAAGTATAGCCAGCCCGCAGATACTGATGCTCTCGGGAATCGGGCCAAAGGAGCATTTGAAAGAAATGGGAATATCCACTCTCGTCGATCTGCCTGTCGGGAGGAATCTTCAAGATCACGTGTCGTGGTTAACGTTTTACTTAACCTATGCGAATGAATCGATGACACCTCCTCCCGACGAGAAGAATCAGATGGACGCCATTTACGAGTATTTGAAACAAAATATTGGCCCGTTACACACCCTTCCAATCGAATTGACCGGTTTCGTGAACGTGGACGATCCTCATTCGAAGTATCCGAATGTTCAATTTATGTTCATACCAGTAGAATATTTAACCCAGTTAACATCATTCCTACATTCCTTCAACGTGGACAATGATCTGATAGAAAGGATTGGGAAGGATATCAAGGAAATGAAAATAATTTTTGGGTTCCCTATATTATTGAAACCTTTGAGCCGAGGTTTACTCGAGTTGCGTAGCACCGATCCCGCCGATCCCGTTAAGATTTATCCGAATTATTTCGTCGAGAAGGAAGATTTCAAAACGTTGTTGAAATCCGTGGATATCGTTAAGGCTTTCTTAAACACCAAGACTCTGAAGAAGTACGGCATGAAATTATATTATCCTGACATTCCCGGATGTCGACACACGAAGCCAGGTACCGATGAATATTGGGAATGCAATCTTAAACACTTGTCTACCACGTTGTATCATCCGTGTGGAACGGCCATGATGGGACCGGCCAACGATTCCAGAGCCGTTGTGGATTCGAGATTGAAAGTGTACGGTATCGAAAATTTGCGAGTGATCGACGCGTCGATCATGCCGGAAGTGACGAGCGGGAATACTAATGCGCCGACTATAATGATCGGAGAGAAGGGAGCGGATATAATTAAAGAGGATTGGGGCGTAATGATATAAAGATCAGAAATTGAGATATCATAGAGATGCACGTGTTATTATTTTATTATGCATGTATATATACGACACGTGCAACAATGTTATGTATATTTATGTTAACGTTTGTTGAATTATTTTTGTGAATCGAGGTTCGTACGAATGACAATTTTCAATTGCACTTGGATTTTGTAGTATGATAATACTTCATTCCACATCCCAAAGCTTGTTCTTGCAACTTTTTGAAAAAAATTCGAGTCTTATTTCACGAGCATTCGAACAGGGGAGATCGTTTTCTAGTTTTTACGATCAATTAAAGTAATTAGTATGGAGATATCGATTTGAATGCATTAAAGGGATAAAACAAAATTCTCTGGGGAACTTAAACGTTATCACGGAAACAAAGTTTTGAAAATGTTTTCTGGAAGAAACTTTGATGAAAATATATTTAATAAGGAATGGGGATTATTTCGAATGGGACAAAATAAAAATAAATAAATAAATGTAAAGATTGTGTTTGATTTGATCCGGAAATCTTTTGAACAAAGTGAAGAGTATTTCTCAACACAAAGAAAATTAAATTACATTATTTGTGTGATGATTTGTTATGTCGAATTATTATGATATTTTCAACATATCGAAAAAACTCAATTATTATTATTATAATACATAATAATCTTAATTGAAATTCTCAATCAATTTTCATTTGAGAAACATATTTATAAAATTTTATTAATTATCTAACTGTAACAATCTGTCTGTTACGTAAATGAGAAAATTAAAGTAGTTTTACTTAAGAAAAACAAACAAAACGAAAGTCTTTAAATACTTTTCATTTTCTTATGTAAACAAAAAAACAACAATTATTCTACTTAAAATATTCATTAGTATAATGATTTTGATAAAAAAAAAATAATTGTGCATTAATTCAAGGACAACTCCTTATATATAATCATTTTCAAGAAATTTTCGATATTAATTTCGATAAAATTTATCATATCTTATTTTTTGTAATTAAACCTTTTTTTATCATCTTAAAAAATATAAGTTTTTAAACTTTAACTCAATAAAGATTCCTTTAAAAAAAATTTAAAGGATTTATTAATATTTTCTTTAAAATTTTTATTTTATTTTAAAAGATAGAGACCTTCAACTCTATCAGAAATTTCCATTGAAAAAAAGAAACAATTGATTGCTTATTTCAATTCAATTCAAATTATTATTATTATTATTATTACTATTATGCAATGAATATACTGAAATTTATGAACGTTAAGAATGAAAGTTAATTATGTCATTTATTTTTATGATGAAATATTGGTTTTTCGCTCCTCTCGATAAGTACTATAATCCCTCAAAGTTAAAATATTTCTTCGAAGAATCTTTTTATCGTCTTTTTTATACCAGAAGCATAAATTCAATAATTGTTTAACTTTATACTTTAAATGTACAATATAATAATGCAATTATTCAGATTAATATTCTTGAGATGACAATATTTGCTTCAAAATCCACTTTAAAATATACTGACTATAAAATATTGTAAAATGTTTTATCATTGTGAAATAAAATATAAGTATAAAAAAAACAAAGTTTCTCCTAATTCTTAAACATTTACATTAGGGGAAAAGATATATACTTATTTATCTACTTACAAGATAATTAGGGGAAAGGGAACGATATATACTTAGTTATCTGCCTAAGAGATAATTTCGTTATATTCCACATAAAAAACAAGAAGAGGGAGAAACTTATGTATATATATATATGTATATATAAAGTTTTGTCATGTTACATTCGTCAAACGTTATTTGAATATTGAAGAAAATAGTACAGGGAGGAATTTGTTTAAAGTATTTTTAGGTGATAATATAATTATTCTTAAAAGTCTTACTTTATTCATAATATTTTAAACTAACATAGACATTTGGAATTTGTTGCCAAAATATTATTGTCAATAATAATAACAAAAGAACAAATTATATTTTAAATTATAAAAAATTAAATTAAATTTAAATGTTATTTTGAGACCGCATATTAGATACTTTCTTATATATAAAATTATTTAGATTCAAAATTTTTCACCTATTGTTCTCGTTATTATTATTTCCATTCAAATTTCTTAATCTAGATTAATTCTAGTTGAATAAATACACGGAAACATGGAATCGTGTGCGAGGGGGACTTGCTCCTCGGCGTTGCAATCATCGCCAGCTTCCGTTTTCACTATGCTGATACAAACGTTAATCGCATCCCGTTGCGGATTAAGCAATACGGACAAATATCCCAGAAGTAACGAAGAGGAAATTTTAAATTCGGGAATGGAGTTCGATTTTGTGATCGTTGGTGGTGGAAGCGCGGGATCTATTTTGGCTCGCAGATTAACGGAAGTGGAGGATTGGAACGTTTTGTTAATCGAAAGAGGAGTGGATCCCTTACCTGAAACCGTACCACCTGGCCTGTTCAACAGCAACTTGGGTGGACCGCAAGATTATTATTACGCGGTATGTAGAATTAAATAATTCGAACGATTATCTTTTATACGAAATTTTCCAACTTGCTTGGAAAATTATAAATATTGATTAAATTTTGTAATTGTTAATTCTTATTAAGAAAACTCATACAATAAAAAATATATTAGATTGCGAGAAATTTTATTTTTGAAAAATTATGAATACAAAAACATTACGTTCTCTCTCTATCTTCTCATAGAGGTTTCCAAATTTTTAAATTAAAATTCCTACATCATTTATTCCGACACAAATTATATTTATTGATATGATTGTCTTTTTTTAACCTACTTATATCGAATTCACTCTTCATTCTAACGCGATATAAAATGTTTTATGAATGAAATTACGAGCTATAATTATTCTATTATATATCGTTCATATTCAAAAAAAAAAAAAAACTTTCTTTTTTATTGCTTTTAATTAAAAGATCGAGCCACAAGAAGGCATCTGTCTGAGTGTCAAAAACAAACGATGTAAATGGTCGAGGGGTAAAGCACTTGGGGGAAGCTCGGTGATCAACGGGATGATACACATCTTCGGGAATCGAAGGGACTTCGACGGTTGGGCGAGTCAGGGAAATCCTGGATGGAACTTCGAGGAAGTACTCCCTTACTTCAGAAAGTCCATAAGCTGCTCGCCCGAATACATAGCCGAACACGGTGACAAGTATTGCGGGACGGACGGTCCCCTCAGAGTCAGATATTACAATTACACCGTGACAGACTTCGAGGATGTAATTCTGGAAGCGGCACAAGAAGCGGGCCATCCCATTCTCAAAGCTGTGAACGGTGATCGTTACCTGGGATTCGGAAGAGTGTTGGGCACCCTCGACGAAGGAAGGCGACAAAGTTGCTCGAAAGCTTTCCTAAGTCCCGTCAGAAACAGGAAGAACTTGCACGTGATAACGTCGACCAGAGCGGACAAGATTCTGTTCGAGGGTAAACGCGCTGTCGGCGTTCAAATCACTTTGAGCAATAACAAATCGGTGAAAGTGAGAGCGACGAAGGAAGTGATCCTCTCGACCGGGACTATGGTGAGTCCGCAGTTACTGATGCTCTCGGGTATCGGGCCGAAAGAGCACTTGAACAAATTGGGTATACCCGTTCTGGTCGATTTGCCCGTTGGAAAGAATCTTCAAGATCACGTGATATGGTTCGGCCTGTATTACTCTATCGTGAACGATTCGGTGACGTCCGCCCCCACCGAGAAGGATCAATTGGACTCCGCTTACGAGTATTTGGAATTCGATACCGGCCCGTTGACCACCCTCGCCAACGACCTCGTCGCGTTCATCAATCCTATCGATCCTAAATCCATATATCCGGAAGTGCAATTATTGTTCTCCCAAGTTCAACGTTACGACAAGAACGGGTTGAACAGTTTGTTGCATTCTTACGACGTGAATGATGAAATTTTACAAATAATGACGGACGAGATCATGAAGAGTAGCTTGATCACCGCTTACGCCTCGTTAATGAGACCGTCGAGTCGAGGGGTGATCGAATTGCGTAGCGCCGATCCAGCCGAGCGGGTAAAGATTTACTCGAATTATTTCACGGTGGCGGACGATTGGAAGAGATTGATGAAAGCCGTGCCAACGTTGAAGAGTTTATTGAACACGACGATCTTGCAGAAGTATAAAGCCAAGTTCCACACCTACGATATTCCCCAATGTCGCAACATAACCGCCGATACAGAGGAATATTACGAATGCAACATTAGACACGCCACTGGCACGAATTATCACGCGTGTTGCTCGAACAGAATGGGGCCAGCCAATGATTCCAGAACGGTTGTGGACGCCAGATTGAGGGTCCACGGAGTGACGAATTTACGTGTTATCGATTCGTCGATCATGCCGAACATCACCAGCGCAAATATACATGCGCCTACCATGATGATCGCTGAGAAGGGAGCGGATTTGATTAAACAGGATTGGGGGATACGAGTATGAAGGATTCTATTACATACGATGCATTTCGTAATACATATATATATATATATATATATATATGTATATCTATATCTGGCTTCTCACAAAATATATAGCAAAGAAAATATTGATAATAATATCGTAAATCTATAACTAATGAAGGAATTATAATATCTACAATGTAATTAAATAAATTACAATATAAAAATAGGCTGATCTTTTTCTCTTACACTGTTTTTGTTTTTATATATAATAAATATATTATTCAATGATTTATAATTTGTATGCACATACATATACATGTACACATGCATGATTTTCTTATGTATAATTTATAAGTAATGGTCAATTGTTGGAATTATACAGATGAGATGAATTTTAAATAAAAGTTATATATGGATATTGAAGAGTATAGATTGTGTTAGTCATTTATGTAATTCACATTGATTCGTTATTATTATTATTATTATTATTTTAATTTAAAGACATTATTCATTAAAAAATTTCCGTGAAAATATTTTTCAAAAATCTAAAAGCATAAAGTTTGACAAATACAGATAAGATGGCAATTTAAAAAAAAAAGATTAAAATATCCATATATATAAATAATTTGTTCGAAAAGTATGTTTTGAAAACGTCTCGATACCAGCTATAATAACGTACAATAAAATTCTCACAGATTTTCTTTCAAAAATAATATAAACTTTTTATAACTTTTACACGGAAGAACTAATGTATCTCCTTTAAATAGGAATTTTTTTTTTTTTTTAGAATATTATTTAAAAATACACCGTACTTTTTTTGTGATAAATTTTGTTTTGTCAAATTGCACTTAATTTACGTTCATTTAGCATTATTTTAACATATCTTTTTTTATCGATAAATAATACATCAAACTTTAAATAATATTGCACATTTTACATAATTAGATGTCGCTAAATATTTATATAATATAATATCAATTAAATTAATTATTGTTATATTAATATATGTATAATATATGTATAATTATTCATTATTATACGTATAATTATAAATGGCAGCAATATTCTATGATAGTGAAACGAAGAGTTATGAGAATAGACGTCATTTTTAAATATATTTTATTCTTTCAAAAGAAAACGTAAACAAAATATTTTTAAATACTCATTAGAGTAATTGATACCTATTCATTATTCACTTTAATTGATACTTTAGTATAGGTTTTGCATTTTGCAAATCATGGATAAGCATTTAAAGAAAATATTTATACGCATTTCGAAGAGATATTTAAGTATTTTTTACATTGGAAAAATATTTAATTTGAAGTTCGATAAATGTTGATTTAAAAATATTTAAAGAATTTATTGATTTTTCCTTTAAATTTTCAATCTTCAGAAAAAAGAATTAAATATTTAATAATAAGCAGTTATTCATTGGATAATTATTAACATTTATTAAAACAAAAAAAAAATTGGCTTATCCGGAAATTTTTTTTACTTATATGTATATGTAAAATCAAGAAGATAATTACATTGTATCGTATAACTTTAATACAAAAGGAGGGAGAAGTTTAAGTACATATACATATATATATATATATATATAGCTTTGTCGTATCATACACGATTAAATGCACTTTGAAAAAAGAAGTGCATATGAAGATCAATTTCATAAATTTCGAACAAAAAAATTTACGACAAATGTCACAGAATATACAGATAAGTTAAATAAGGTAAATTAAATTCTCTTAATATTAATTTCCTATAAAAATAGCCTCATTAAAATATTAAAATTTTAATCTTATTTAAATTAGATATAAATATAAAATATTTTTCCAATAAAATATTTATCTGTAATAATAATATTCAAAAAGACATATAAAAATTTAAAATTAAATTACAACAATTTTCCATCTAAATTTACTTACACTTTTACCTTATCATTTTCAGATTATTAATTTCCCTTGAATAAACACACGGAAACATGGAATCGTGTATGAGGGGGACTTGCTCGTCGGCGTTGCAATCGTCGCCAGCCTCCGTTTTCGCCATGCTGATACAAACGTTAATCGCATCCCGTTGCGGATTGAGCAATACGGGCGAATACCCTAGAGATCGCAAAGACGAGATTTTAAATTCGAAAATGGAGTTCGATTTTGTGATAATTGGTGCTGGGAGCGCGGGATCCGTTTTGGCACGCAGGTTAACGGAAGTGGAGGATTGGAACGTTCTGTTAATCGAAAGAGGAGGGTACCCTTTACCCGAGACCGTATCACCTGGTCTCTACTTCAGTATCTTAGGCGGATCGCAAGATTATCGCTATGCGGTAAGTGGAATCGAATAATTTTAACGATCTTTCATTCGTCTTTAATACTCTCTCACTTTCTAGAGAGATAATTCGAATAACCTGAATATTCCAATATAGAATATTTTTATTCCGAATAAGAGAATATATATCAATTTATTATTCGAATTCGAATAATAAAGTTTTTACAAATTAGATACATAAAAAATCATGCATATCTTTTTATTATACACGTTGTACTTGTATAACGAGAAATTTCTACGATCGATTAATTTTTAATCATTTCTATTCAAAACGCGAAAGCTCGAGCCGCAAGAGGGTATCTGCCTGAGTATGAGGGACAAACAATGCAAATGGTCGAAAGGTAAAGGAGTTGGCGGAAGTTCGGACATCAACGGGATGATATACATCTTAGGGAATCGAAAGGACTTCGACGGTTGGGCGAGCGAGGGGAATCCCGGATGGAGTTACGAGGAAGTGCTCCCTCACTTCAGAAAGTCGTCGAGCTGCTCGCCCGAATTCACGGCCGAACACGGTGACAAGTATTGCGGGACGGACGGTCCCCTTAGAATCAGATACTTCAACTACACCGTGACAAACTTCGAGGATATCATTCTGGAAGCGGCTCGAGAAGCGGGCCATCCCATTCTCGATCCGGTGAACGGTGATCGTTACCTGGGATTCGGAAGAACGATGGGCAATCTCGACCAAGGGAAACGGGAAAGTTGCTCGAAAGCTTATCTAACTCCCGTCAAAGACAGGAAGAACTTGTACGTGATGACGTCGAGCAGAGTGGACAAGATTCTGTTCGAGGGCGAACGAGCTGTCGGCGTTCGAATCACTTTGAGCAACAACGAAACGGTGGAGGTGAGAGCGACGAAGGAAGTTATTGTGTCGGCGGGAAGTATCGTCAGCCCGCAGATACTGATGCTCTCGGGTATCGGGCCGAAAGAGCACTTGAAGGAATTGGGTATACCCGTTCTGGTCGATCTGCCCGTTGGAAAGAATCTTCAAGATCACGTGATATGGTTCGGCATGTATTACTCGTTCGTGAACGAGTCGGTTACGTCCGCCCCTAGCGAGAAAGATCAATTGAACTCCGCTTACGAGTATTTGGAAACGAGCAAAGGCTCGTTGGCAAGCCTTGCCAACGATCTGATCGGATACGTGAACGTGGAGGATCCTGATTCCCCGTATCCGGACATCCAGATATTGTTCTCTCAAATTCAACGGTTGGACACGGGGTCGATGAAGATGGCGATGGCTTCTTACAATGCGAACGATGAGATCACGCGGATAATGCTGGACGAGATCAAGAGAAGGGATTTGATCACCATTTACAGCTCGTTGATGAATCCAAAGAGTCGGGGCGAGATCAAATTGAGGAACGCCGATCCGGCTGAAGAAGTGAAGATCTACTCGAATTATTACACCGTGGCCGATGATTGGAAAAAGATGATGAAAGTTTTGCCCATCGTCAAGAGTTTGTTGAACACTACAGCGTTGAAGAAATACGGGATGGAGTTTAATATTTACGATGTCCCCGAATGTCGCCATTTTACGCCCGATACAGAGGAGCGTTACGAATGCGTGATCAGACACGTGTCCGCCTCGAATTATCACGCGTGTTGCACGTGCAGAATGGGACCAGCCAGTGATCCGAGAACGGTTGTCGATCACAGGTTAAACGTGCACAAGGTGAAGAATTTACGGGTGATCGACGCATCGATCATGCCGAATATCATCAGTGGAAATATCCATGCGCCTACCATAATGATAGCCGAGAAGGGAGCGGATTTGATCAAAGAGGATTGGGGCATAAAGGTGTGAAACAGATGGAAATATATGAATGTACGTATTTAAAGAATTTCATTTTCAATTATTCTGAGATAATTCTTTCTCCTTAAAACATTACTTATTTTCTCACATTAATTCTTGTAACATTAATTTCTTGTAACATTAATTGCAGATGTTGCAGATGTTATATAAAATTTACGTAATTATATAAATTTTACGTAATTCTATATAAAAACAAAACGGAAAGTGTAAAGTCTGGAAATGCAGCTGACTATACAAAAGATAAAAATTTTGTTTTGAAAATGTCTGGATGCCAGCTACAATAATATGCGATATAAAAAAATAGAGATTTTAATTTGAAAAATCTTTATATCATCAAGATCAAATAAAGATAACAGAATGAGTCAATATCTTTTTCGATATCTTTTTCAACTAACACAAATTCCGCAAAGTATGATGGCGCTAATCAGAATGACCACTGTCCATTTGAAATTAATGATGTTGAATCACTTGACACCGTTATGATAGATTGCTAGTTCATACTTCAAAGCTGGCCACATCTGGTACGCAGAATCCATTGAGCAATCGTATCTGAATAGTAGTTTATTAATATGCACAACTCGGAGTGGCTCAATGGAGTGGTTCAAAAATAACATTATGCGATAAAATAACAAATTCCACAATTTTACACGAAAAGCTTCGAAAGCATAAAATGTGATAAATTAAAATTCTAAATTCTAAATTAAAATAACGAAGATAAAATGTAGAAATGAAATTTTAGATATACATCTCGATGGTCCAATGAAAACTACTTTAAAAAGCAATCGATCACGAATTCCTCATTCGTTTTATCAGACACCATTGTCTTTTCAACTTTTTACAAAGTTACCAAGCTTCCGGCGTGGTGGAAAAACAATCTGGAAGAAAACGCCTTTCAGAAATCGCATGGACGATTCCCGCATAAATTAAGCGGATTGGAATGAAGTGCGAGCATCGCTATCCACGGCCTTATCCTCGCCTCTTAAACGATCATAATGAACGATGAGAAACATGAAAGAATGCTTGTTTGCACTCCAAATTACCCTATTTGTAATAAAAGTTATAAAAAGTGAGCGTTACGAAAAGAAAAGAAAAAAAGAAGGGAGAATCTTCTCTTACGCGTGTCTTTTCTTTTTTCCATCACTCAATTCATTTCCTAGCATATAATAATAATAAATACCTCTCACGTGTTCCCATACGTGGTCATCCCATACGGAATGTATGTTCTGGGACTCTTACAAAATTATAAATGGTATGGTATAAATGTACTTTGGACGATTATACTTCTTTATAATTCCCTCAGAGGCAAGGCACGGTGTAAAAACCAGGGAATTTTCCTGAGAACAGTCATGCGAACGATGTGTTTCTCGCACGTGAAACAGTGCATCGGTATTGTAAAATTAAACGAGGGAAAAATTATTTTGAATAGAGAGAGAATTTTGGATTTAAAAAAAAAGGAACGAAGCTACAATCAAATATCGATAATCCTTTGTTTTTACTATTCCTTTTTCTTTAAAAGCGCAGAATTTTTCTATTTAAACTTCCGTTTCTTAAGATATTATCATGTCATCATCATCAAGAAAAAAATAATTTTCAATTATGCATCTTAAAACTAATCAAATCCTATTAAAATTAGAAAAACTTTGATCCGCTATAACTCCGAAGATAATGATGCCGAGTCAATGGATGAAAGATCATTAGAGGCGTGGAATCTTACTCTTTAAAACGCTTTTTTGTTTATCCCGATACGACTTCCGGTTCCCGAGATATCATCTTTTAAAGAAAAGGTAATTTTTAATCATATACTTTAAATCCTATTAAATCCTATTAAAATTAGGAAAACTTTGAAACGCTATAACTCGGAAGATAATTACTTCCGGTGAACGAATCAAAGACCATTAGAAGCGCGGATTCTTCCTCTTTAAAATGCTTTTTTATTTATCTCGATACGACTTCCGGTTGCCGAGATATCGTCGTATAAAGGAAAAGGTAATTTTTAATTGTTTACTATCTCTGTCCTTTGCGGTTATTCGGATCTCTCGCTCGCACCTCGCCTCACTGACCTATCCCAAATTCCAGATAAGCGGCAGACGCGATTCCTAGAAAAAGTAGTACGCGTTTCCAGGAAAAAATGTAGGTCACTAGGTCACAAGCCCATTCATAATTTTCGCCCTATATTAAACGCTATGGAAACTTTGAACCCGTATATCTCGGCAACGGATCGAGATATCGGGATAATCCAAAAAATGACTTCAATGGTATGATTTTCTTTATTTTTTGAGTGGATTTTGATTGAAAATTTTTAATTTCTTTTTGCATTATTTTTTTATGAAAAGTTGACTTTAAATGAATACAATGACTTGTTGTTGCGATATGAAGTATATAGGAGTTTAATTTAACTATTATATATATTTTTTGTGTATTTTCAATATTTGAATATATTTTATAGTTACATAAAAATTCTAATTAATCTAATAATAAAAGTTAAATTTTGAAAATTTTGTATCGTCCCGATTTTCTTCGTAATCACGATATTATAATGATCGATCACTGAATCGATAATAAAATAGATAAATTCGGGAATTCCAATACTTTTGTAAAACGGATCGGTGTTTAAGGAATTGAGAGAAATTCCATTTAAATAATAAATAAACAAGCAACGAATGTAATTTCATTTCTACCCGAATAATGGCCCGAAACCACGTTTCCGCGCCGCGAAGACAATGATAGAACAAATGATAGAACGAGATTTGGCAACGAAACGCCTAAAGTTTGCCTAACATTTCCAGCTTGGCGCCGCGGAAAATCGGTCGAACAAATAATAACAGTCTAAAGAAACTATATACTTCCTCCACATAGCGAGTCGCCACCTATTTATTTCTCGAATGCACGATCGGCTCTTGTGGAACCATTAAGCCTCGAAACAAATATAACGGTCGATTCAGAAGCGGCCAGCGACTGATCGAAGGAAGGGAGAAGAAAGGGGAGGGTATATATTCCACGTTACCGTGGAATTATTTAGCATTTATGTCGGCCAGATTTATGCAACCGGTAGAGCGCGGCCGGGGCAAACGTTTCACGAACGCTTTTATTGCGGCTACACCAAATTCATTACTACGCCTCGTTTACCCGGTATTCGTCTGCTCGTTATAATTGCTCCATTGTGTCCGGGCCGGAGAGACTTGTGCCGCACGAGAAAAACGAAGGTACAGCGAGGGAGAAAAAGAGAGGAAGAGAGAGGCGAGGAGCACCTTTGAAACCAGTCGACCACGCCATTGTGTGCCCCGGACTTTTCGCATAAAACGGTCTTTACGGTCTAAACCGAAACCGATGACGCAACCAATCCTCGGCTGGAGCCGCGAGAAGAACCCAGAATCGAGATCGTAAACGCGTGTAATACGAGGAACGGCGTCGCCTTACCTATGGTGTGTCCTTTTCGAAAAAATAAAAAAAATGTTTTGGTCGAAGAGAATTGAAGAGGAAAATTGAAAGAATATGAAGATCCAAGAAAAGGTATGAAAGAGAAAAAAATACCAATGATGAATACACTGTAAATTTTGTATAAACGTACAAATATTTATTCAGTTTAATGATGAGTATCTATTCGATTTAAGAAATGGTTTATGGAAATTTCTCTATAAATTTTACTTTTTAGAATTTTATTAGAACAATGAGGAAAATATGGAAAGGATTTCTTCTTAGAAATATTAGAAAAAGAAAAAAAAATCGTATGTAAGAATTTCTATGCAGAACTTAACGAGTATTATAAAGTAAATGTGATTATTGATCTACGTCCGATCAAGAACGGGACTTTTCTACTTGGCCACATAAGATTTCAGACTTTACAGTTGTATCTTCGAATCGTAAGACCTTTTGATGGTAATAAGATTACAATCAATATAAAAAAAGGATAATAAGCAAATATAAAATATTACGTATGTTACAGATTTTCATCCGCTTAATACAATTTTATCTGCGCAAATAAACTTTGTTACTCGATTACAAAAACATGCAAATGGTGAACCCACTGTATAGCGAATCACAATTTACAACAAATTTTTATTCCATATTATTTTTCTCCCCCCGTTTGATATTTTTATTCAATATCTATTGATAAAATTCTCTTATCTGGCCATGAAAATATGCAAACAGTGAATCGATGGAACAAACGATCATTACACAAATTTTCATTCATCCAGTATCTGATCCGATATTGGACGATCACGAAAATATGCAAATAGGGAATCGATACAACGACGTTTACACAAATTTTCATTCACACCAATCCGTATCTGATCCAACGTAAAACCCCACGATATAAATTCCTTGGTTCGACGACAAAGATATGCAAATAGTGAACTGATACAACACGCACCATTACACGAAATTTTATTCACAACAACCTGTATCTGATAATGCAAATTTAAATCGTAGAGCGTGAAAAGACAATTTTTAACAATTCTTCCTTTTCGAAGAATCGATCTTGAAATTTCTTTCTTCGCGCGAAAGATACATAAGAATCGATTCGAATTTTCTTCCCACGTTATAATAATTTAAGAGCCAGAGAAGAGTAACAGAAGAGTAACAGTAATACGTTAAAAATTGTTGCTCTAATATTCTTTATATCTTCGCTTTTTCATTCGACGCCACAATTTTTTTTTTATTTCCAAATTCCACCATCTTTACTCAAAACCGTCCTGTATAATAAATTTGAAGCGTTTCCCAATATATCCATCGTCCCTCTAACGTTCGAGCAACGCTCGTGACACGCGCTGACGCGTATCTTTCCCACGTGAATCGGAGAAAACTCGTTTCAAAAGTGCTCGGCCCGGGATTGGACGAAAAACGCGCGCAACAAGATAATGGGGAATAAACGAGCCCACGCTTGCTCGTAGAAAAATCGACAAAAGGAAACTCGTTGAAGCGTGGAAATAAAGAAGTCGGGAAACGGGCGATTCTCTGGAAGCGACTTTGGATTCTTTGGAAGCGAACCTGTCCGCTCGCCGCATCGGAACACGAAACAAATTTTATTAGCTGGTTACCAAGCATAATAACGCGGGCCCCGCTTCAACTTTTATCTCACTCCCTTCCCCGATTATTTTGTTGTTTGTCTACCTTTTGAAAATATTTTTTTCTCCTTTGAATTTCTTCTTGGAAAGTGGAAGAGAATATCGTTCGTTCGTGGGGAGACGAGATTGAAGGTGTGACGTCCTTGGGACTAAGAAGAAATTAGATATGCGGATTCGGAAGTTCTATCTAAAATGGGATGGCGGGGTGTTATGGCCGATGAAATAATATAAGATTCCGCGAATTCCGGTTAAGATAAGATGCTTATTATGGCCCTCCTACTCGAGAGTGGACGTGTGCACGAATGGTTCGTTGCTTTTAA